TATGCATCATTGTCTGCAGTTTGTACCTTTACTTATTTTTAAGCTATGTAGCATGGTAGTCACTTGTTAGTTGCTGTCGTATTAGCTCCGGTTCATAGTAACCCCATGTACAACAGAATGAAATGCTGCTCGGTTGTGCCATTCTCACAATTGTTAGGTTTGAGCCCATTGTTTTAGCCACTGTGCTAGTCCATCTCATAAAACTTCTTCCTCTTTTTCGCTGCCCTTCTATTTTGCCAAATAGATGACCTTTTCCAGGGACTAGCTTCTCTTGCTAACATGTCCAAGAATGTGAGATGAAGTCTGCACGTTAAGCATATCTTCTAAGACAGGCTTGGTTGTTCTTTGGGCAGTCCATCAATGGTCTCTGCCAGCACTTTACTTCCTGTGTATTGATTCCTTATTCAGTGTCCAGCCTCCACATGCATATGAAACAGTTGAAAATCTCGTGGCTGAGGTTAGGTGCACCTTCTTCCTCAACGTGACACCCTTGATTTCCAACACTTTAAAGAGGTCTTGTACAGCAAGCTTTTAGTGAGTTTGTACTTCCCTAATTAAATAAAAAAGATACCGAACCCAGGATAGAAAGCAAGCACTATTCTCAGGGAAGGCTTTCCTTTGATGGGTTTGGTGAGAGACATTTTAATATCAATATATAATCCGAAGTGCTAGTTTAACTTTCATTTCAAAGGCAGTGTAGTCTAGTAGTAAAGAACAGATTCTGGAGCCAGGCTGGTTGGGCTCAAATCTTATTTTACGCAGTTACTCATTTTACTCAAATTTGTGAGCCTTGGGCAAAGTGCCTAGAAACATCTCTGTGCTCAGTCCTCATCTGTAAAATGATAATAGTGGAGGGGCAGGGAAAAAGAGGAGGCCCTTATAGGAGGAGATGGACTGACATGGGCTGCAGCAGTGGGCTCAGGCATGGAGACAGTTGTGAAGATGGCGCAGACTGGGCGTTGTTTTGTTTTGATGTACAAAAGGTGCTATGGGTTGGAGGTAACTCGGGCACCCAACAACAACTCCCTCTCAGATGCACGTGAAAAATGTAGTGATCTTACAGGTGTAAAGGCTTTTACTACCTTTACTAAGTGGTCAGTAAATGTTTTTGTGACTTGCTGTTGATTCTGCCGCATGGCGACCCCATTTGTAAGAGTAGGACTGCTCCATAGGCTTTTCTTGGCTGTAATCTTAAGGGAAACATTGCCAGGTACTGCTGGGTGGGTTTAAACTGCCAACCTTTAGGTGAGCAGCCTAGCAGAAACTGGTAATTAGTTGTCATTAGTTATATTGTCTAGTTAGTTCTTCTGAAAGACTTTGAATGAGAATTTCTCTGTGTGCCATTTTGTGATTTTGAAATTGGAATGTTAGACTTCTTAAACTTTGATAGCTTAATTTAAACATCTACTTTTTAAAACAATGTAACAAAATAAATCTGTAAAAAGAAATATATCAAGTCAAACAATAGTTATAAAACAAAAATGGGGAAATCAAGATACATATCTTAATGTTAAATTTTTTAATATATGAATGATTTTTTAAAAATATGAGCTATAATGCTTGATTCAAGAATGTACTCTCTTAAAGCTCACTCTTCAATTCAGGGATTGATGAACCTTCAGGATTTTTCCAGGCTGTGATGCCTTACATATTCGCTGAAGAAGATTTACTTTCTTATATTTGTATTATAATCACTAAGCATGAATTAATGTTTTCACTGATTTTTTTAATGTGTAAAAATTTGTCAGTACCATTATTTGTGCAATAATATGAGAAGGAATGACATAGTTTGTGTAGCATTAAACAGAGGTACTGATTCATTTAAATCTATCATAGAGATTGGCAAACTACAAATATGTGGGCCATCTTAGAGACAAACCACTAGTTTTTATGCAGTTTGTGAACAATAGTTTATACCTTTTTAATGGTTGGGGGCAAAATCAGAAGAGTATTTTGTGAAACATTAAAGTTTTGAAATTCTAATTTCTGTAACCAGAAATAAAGATTTACTGGAATGTAGTTACATGCTTTTGTTTGCGTATAGTCTGTGGTTGCTTTTGTACTATAGCTATGGGACTGAATAGTTGGGACAAAGCCCATATGGCCCATAAAGCTGTAAATATTTGCTATGTAGCTCTTTCCAGAAAAACTTTATTGACCTCTGATATATGATATTCTTAAAAGAATAGCTTCAGTTCAACTTTAATGTAGTAGGTGTGTTTATGAACAGATTGTAATTAAATGGTGTGATGAGTCATATCTTCAACTTGATTTTGCTTATATTTTTTTCTAAAATTTAATCAACCTGCACATTTTTTTCCAAGAACTTTATAAACTCATGAAAATTGATATGTGTATATACAGTGTATTTTAAAAGGTTCTATTTTTATGTTAGCTTCTAAATGATTTTGGGGATTTGAAATGTTCAGTGTTTTGCAGTTCCCTTTTTGTATTCTGGCCCCTAGAGTTTTACTGCATGCTGGGAAGTTAGATGTTCAGTGAATGTGTGTTGAAAACCGATGGCTATAGTTTTGTATACTACAGAAAGCTTGCAGTTCCATTTCATTGGTATCCTGCACTGCTTAAAAAGTGCTCAGTGTAAATATGACCAAAACCAAACCAACCAAATTTCAGTTTTGTTTTTTTTTCTTGAGGTCTATTAATAATCTAAGTGCACTGTTACTTAAGTGGTTAGATAAGTTGGTGCTGCTTAAACATTTGACTGTGGACTTGGGTTTATGGGAGGACAGGGAGTATCTCTGAAGCTTTAAAGTTTTAATTTGCTTTCTGTAAGACCGAGTAACTGGAATTAGTGCATAATGGAACCACTGTAGAATTAAATCACTTTAAATTAAGTGCAACATTCTAGGCAAATATTTGAAGTGGAGGTTGATACTATGTACTAGACTGTTAATCAGTTCTGATAAAATAGTCATCAACTTTCTCCAGCTTACGCATCAGAAAACCTGTACTGTATTCTATATGAGTGAACTGGATGCTTTCCAAATGTCCAAAATCAAAATTTGTTGGTAAAATAAAGTTCCAGGTCATTTTATTCTGAGGTATTTTCTAGTTTGTTTTCAAGTATTGAAATAATGTTACATCTTAATTGACAGAGGATTTGAAATCCCATAGAACCTTACTGTCCATTTTAACATAGTTAACATAGTTTGCTTCAGAGCAAACACCTGAATTTATACAATTAACAGTTTTATTAACATTGCAGAACATTTTAGAGCAGCCTACTTTTGAGTATTATATAGTTGAATAATTTTTATCTATTTGATATTAAAGACTTAAAAAAAGATCTGTGTTATAACTATTTAAGTTCTGACAAGTTTATTCAAAGTAATTCCACGAGTTTCTTCTATAGATAAGAGCATTTAAAAATATTTTGGGTGTATGTTTAAATGTCTAGAATGTATTCATAAAACTTTATGAGAAAACTTTGCTTTTGCTACTAAAATTGCTCTGGGAAGAGACAAAATAGCTGCTCAGTTCTGCCAACAATTTAAAAGAAAAACTTGTAGCCTGTAGTATGTTAAATTATTTTTTCATTCTGCTGATGTTGGTTACTGTCTAATAGTTTTAAATTATAATTTAATATATATTTTAAGAATGTGGATTTATCATTTTTAGATCTATATTTTAAAAGAAGGAAAAATGATTGTTTTTAATGAATAGTAATGTGCTTGTAATTGAAACTTGAGTTTTTCCAAAATGTAAAATTTTATAATTTGGATCGTTAAAGGCATTTAAACATAAAGGCTTATTGATGGAGATAGGGGGAAGATGGGAGCATTTGAAAATTGTTCCTAGTAAATAAGTATGGGTGAGTAAGTACACATTTTTTCAACTTTGTTTTCTATAACTTTTTAGAAGATAATATCACATACAATATCATTTTAACTCATTTTCTTTATTGTTCGTAAGAGAAAAAAAATTATCGAAGAACTTCCAAAAACTATTTTTGAAAATTACTTAATTTAAAACTATTAACTTTTTGAAACTATAGAGTTGCTATGAGTCAGGGTTGCTATGAGTTGCAGTAGACTCAATGGCAGTGATATGTTGGTTTGATACTCTGCTTATATAATTGAAATAAATCTTTAATATAGAAAAAAATTAATCCAACTTTGGAAGTCTCGGCCTTTATTTAATTCCACAGTTTGATACTTTTCAGTAGTTTAACATTCTCATTACAGGTGGCTTACTCTGGTGTATGGTTTATACAGTGGAACAGTAGTTGCTTCTTTGCTCTTCAGAATGCCTTGGCCTTTTGCTAGTGGGTTACTCTGTAAATTTTTGTTTACTGGATAAATAACCGGTCCTTGCGTGGTAGAGAATTGAGTGAAAGAGAGCTGAAAGTGAGGTTTTTCTAGGTAATTTTGATTCAGAACATTGTGTATATTAAAGTTTCAAAGATGTTTCAAGCTTCCTTTCTATAACCTTTTTTTTTTCTTTTTAAACGCCACTATTTTGTGGCATTATATAATTCTGATACATGTTAGAGAAATATGGGTGTAAAAAACAACAAAAGCTATTTAGTTTAGTGGTATATTGTCTAAAATGGTATTAAGCCTACCCACTGCTATCAAATTAGTGTCAATTCATAGTTACCCTGTAGGGCAGTGTAGCACTGCTCAGGGCTTTCCAAGGCTGTAAGTCTTATGGAGAACATAAAACCTCATCTTTTTTTTTTTTTTTTTAAACCTCATCTTTTGACTACTGCTTAATCCACTATGCCATTAGGACTCCTTAAGTATGACATTGTACAGATATAACTATTAATCAGACCTCATATTTTGAGGAGCTAGTTTTAAAATTTAGTTAGATGAATTTGATTATAAAAATTAAAATTTTCAGAAACAACTTAAAGTAGTAAAAATAAGTGACTGAAAATTTAAGGTTTGTGTGGCAGAACTTGTTTTGTGGAACATAACCGATAAAATAATACATGATCAAATTGATGGAATTATCAGATTATTTTATTTTTACAGGCGTATTCTACATTCTAAAGGGGAGCTAAGTGAAGATAGACATAAACAATATGAAGAATTTGCTATGTCTTATCAGAAGCTGCTGGCAAATTCTCAGTCCTTAGCAGACCTTTTGGATGAAAATATGCCAGATCTTCCTCAAGATAAACCAACACCTGAAGGTAAAATGTCCATAAAAACAAACATGTTTTTATAAATACTATCAGTTAACTTTGGCCTTCTCAGATTTCTGCTTTTGAAAATTTAAATCTTAAAAATGCATTTATTTTGTTAAATAGTTAATGAGAAGATGGATTCTAATTTATCCTTTTTCAGTTTTTTTATTTGAATGATATAATACTATTATACTTAAAGCTTACAGCCTTGTAGTTTTATGAGATAAATTGTTTCATCATCTTGTGAGACAATATATTTTCCATATTTATTATTATCCTTCATTTAATAGGGCTCTTAATATTCTTACTTTGCCATGTCATATACTTAAATAGGTAATAAATAAATATATTCATATATATAGTTAGATAAGTAGAACATGCTTGTAATCTTAAATATGTGAAGAAATCACTTTTAAAAGAAGTATTTGTGCAATATCCTTTTCTGATAAAAATTTCATTTTATAAAATTAGTATTTTACATTTGTATACATAATTGTATTTTACACATCACTAAGAAATAACATTCTCACTATGAATACATTTTATTATATGTAATAAAATATAATTTTTCTTAACTCATGAAAGCAAGTAGCCCATAGTTTGTATTTTGGTTGAATCTGGCTGTTTTTTCAGAAATTTCTGAGTATTATAATGTTTTAGATCAAGTCTTTTCATAGTATATGGCATCTTGGTATTGATTTAGTTTTATTTTTATACAAATTTTTCTCTGATTACTCAAAACATTCTTCAGTTGTAAAGGGTATCTTCTAATTTTAAATTACTTCAAAAGTATTCTTATATACCGTGTATACTCAAGTATAAGCTTTGATCTGAATATCAGCCGAGGCACCTAATTTAACCACAAAAACTGCATAAAAATGTCCTGAAAAACTCAGCTTATACTTGAGCATATACGGTATTTTTCATCAATAATAGATCTCAACAAGGTTCTTTTTTTATCATTTTATTAGGGGCTCATACAGCATTTCTATCATTTTTGAATGATATTTTGACTGGAATAGAATTTTAGGCTGAGTTTTCTCTCATTGCTACAAAATATGCTATTTCAGTATCATCTACCTTGCATCATTTGCAATACTAAATCTGCTATCATTATTTTCTTTGTTCTTTATATAATGTGTATTCTTTCCCTGACCCCTTTAAAGCAATTTATCACTGATTTCAAGCAATTTTGTTATGGTATGGCCTGATGCGATTTTCTTTTCTGTTTTTGAAAGTCACTGAACTTAAAACTGTGAATTTACAATTTTATTAAATTTGGAAAATGGTGACTATTTTATCTGTGTAACTATATCCTCCTCCTCTCTAGCCACGGGAGTTCAATTACATCTTAATTAGACCATCTGAGGTTGACTTACAGTTCCTTGGTGTTCTGTCCTTTTGTTCTTCAGTACTTTTTTTCTGCTCTGATTTATATTTCTGCTTTCAAGTTCATCTATTTTATTATTATTATTATTTACAGAATTCTATCTGGAGAGGAGCCCTGGTGGCGTAGTGGTTATGCATTGGGCTGTTAACCGCAAGGTCAGCAGTTAGAAACCATCAGCTGCTCCTTGGGAGAAAGATAGGACTGTCTGCTCCAGTTAAGAGTTACCGTCTCAGGAACTCACAGGGCAGTTGTACCTTGTCTTACAAAGTCGCTATGAGACTGCATTGACTAGATGGCAATTGAGTTTGGGTTTTGGAGTTCCATCTAGAGAGGTAGTTTCCATCTTTATTCTAAAAGTTGAATTTCAATATAATTGTAAGAAATAGAGGAATAAGGTAGGGGGCCAGCATTTTGTTTGTTTTTTTAATCATTTTATTGGGGGCTCATACACCTCTTATCACAATCCATACACTCATCCATGTGTCAAGCACATTTGTACATATGTTGCCATCATTTTCAAAGCATTTTCTTTCTACTTGAGCCCTTGATATCAGCTCATTTCCCCCTCTCTCTCACATCCTTCCCTTGATAAAGTATAGATTATTATTTTCATATCTTACATCATCTTCTGTCACCCTTCATCCACTTTGGTGTTGTTCGTCCCCCTGGAGGGGATTATAAGTCTATCCTTGTGTTCGATTCCCCTTTCTCCCCCCACCTTCCCCTTATCCTCCTAGGTATTCTAACTTTTATAAGTTATTTTTAATCATTCTGGTTATTCTTCAAGTCACAATTTTTGTTTGGAGATAATTTCAGTGAAAATCGATAAATTCCTGAATTGTCTCATAATCGTGAAGTAGAAAATATCTCGCCTTCAATGTTTTGAGTTTAGGAAACTATAGTTGTATACAAAGGTGGGGGCCAAGGAGAGAGAGAATATGTACCTATGGGCTTCCTCCTCCTACTCAGGTCCTCTATGTTTCTTCATCATCTTTTTCCAGTTAATTTATCACTTATGACATTAGCATTTATGACATTTAAGACAATCTGCTGTATGTCTAGAATTATACCAAGTGGAAGAATGCTGCTGAAGAGTTTATGGACTACTAAGGTATTTACAGTACTGTGAAACTTGGGACCGACTGTCTCCCCCACTCCCAGTCTTCACAGGTTTTCCACCTATGATAGTGTGCAGTCTAACCACTTTTCTATTGCTCTCTTTTAATGGAAAAATAATTGAATTTTCTTTCCTGGCAGGTTTCTGCCTTACACAGATTCTCACATTTCTCTGGTTTGCATGTAAAGCAGTACAGAGGGTTTGGAGTCGTGAAATAAATGTTCATTTGGGTAGTGGGACTTTAAGCGGGAATTTTCTAGGAATAGCCAAGCATACACATTTATTATTTTGCTTTTAAGCTTCATGAGGTAGAAATAATACATCATATCACTAATTAATCTCTTATTATTTGCTTAAATTAAGAGTAAAACATCTTTATTGTGTGCGATTCTTTTATCTTTGCTGTTTTCGGTGCTTAAAACAGTTTGTGCGTACATTTGATGTGCTAAACATGGTTATATGTATAAATCCCAAGTCCTGTTGATGGAAGAAACTAATATTAATTGAAGCACTGAAGCTTCAATAGCTATAAAATTGAAAGTCTGAAATAGCTTATTTTGTCCTGTTTATCCTCCTGTATGTATAATGGTGTTAATTTCCTGTGATTTATTTAATTGTAGAGCATGGGCCTGGAATTGATATATTCACACCTGGTAAGCCTGGAGAATATGACTTGGAAGGTGGCATTTGGGAAGATGAAGATGCTCGGAATTTTTATGAGAACCTCATTGATTTGAAAGCTTTTGTTCCAGCCATCTTGTTTAAAGATAATGAAAAAAGTTGTCAGAATAAAGACTCCAACAAAGATGATTCTAAAGGTAAATTCTAGAGGGAAAGTATTTACAGTATGTGCTGTACAGATTAGCTTCAAAATAGTATTTATTTAATGTAGTTATTAGTGTTACAATATGATCATTGGATCATTTGATTAAATGATAGAATAATATGGACTAGAGCACGAACAGGTGCTGCCTGATATCTGTAATCCAATAGTACATTTAAGTTAAGGTGACTTTGAAATGTTTAGGTGTAATAAACTGCAGTCGATTCATAAGACGACTTGGTGAGATAAGAATTTCTCTTAGAGTGTTGGCAAAGGTGTTACCTCTGTAATGCTTGTATTCGGAAACTCTTTCTAAGCTAGAGCTTTCCAAATGTGAGGAGGAACTGCTCTAGAAAAAGCAGCAGCTTTGAGATCATTAATGCAGTGCGAGGAGCTGACTGCCAGCTCTTTTTATTTTTTAACATCCACATAATCATTTTATTAATAAAAGGAACCCAGGATGTTCAAATAGGATTACAAAGTACAAACATACACTCTCCAATCTTGTGGGTTAAACTGTTAGGTTTTGAATAAAAAAAACCAAAAAAACAAAAAGGCTCTTAAAATTAGCTTATCAAAAAACAAAATCCCTGCCTAGGTGGTCTTTAAAAAAATTTTTTGGGTGGTGGTGGGGGTGGTGGTCTGGTGTTCTGTTTTTGTTTTCCCAGCAGTTTTATTAGCATATAATTCAGATCTGCTAATTCAGTCTCATCAAGAAGAATTGTGCTGACATCACCACCATGAGTTTTAAAACATTTTCTTAATTCTTTTTTTTTTTTTTTTACATTTTAATTGGGGCTCATACAACTGTTATCCCAATCCATACACACATCAATTGTGTAAAGCGCATTTGTACATCATTTCTCAAAACATTTTCTCTCCATTGAAACCCCCGACATTAGGTCCTCATTTTTCTCCTCCCTCCCCGCTCCCCCCTCCCGCAGGAGCCCCTGATAGTTTATAAATGGGTATTTTGTCATATCTTGCCCTGTCCGACGTCTCCCTCCATCCACCTTTCGGTTGTCTGTCCCCCAGCGAGGAGGTCACACACAGTTCCATGCAATCGGCTCCCTCCTTCCTACCCATTCTCCCTTTACCCTCCCTGTTTCGCCACTACATTTTCTTAATTCTTGTACTCACTGTTCATAGTTTCTCATTCCCCCAACCTTCCCTGCTGTACCCAAGGAACCATGAATCCAGTTACGGTCTCTGGATTTACCTATTCTGAATTTCACATACAACTTAACAAAGACCAAGTCAAACAGATAAAAACCTCAATCGAAAGAAAGCAGAAAATATTAAAAACTAGAACAAATTTAAATGGATCATAAGGGAGATCAAATGATAGGGCACTAAATTTTAACTTAACAGCATATACAGTAATCTACTTTCCAATTTATTCTACATGTTGGCAGAATTATTCACATGTCTGGTCCTCGGTCAGAGGGAATTCACCATGGGCTCAATCCACGTGTATTTATCCTTCCTTTTTTTTTTTTTTTTCTTCGCTAAAACCACTTTAAAATGGGCCAAAAGTTCCTGGTGTTCTTATTGTGCAAGTAAAAACACAAAGTTAAGTTTTGCTCGTGGAAGGATTTGTGTGCCAAAGGATGCATATTTTGAGTTTCGAAATGTTTTCAGCAAAAAGAAAATTCTAAGGCCATATTTTCTATGTAAATGAACAAAGGCAGTAGTAGAATAAAAAAGTAAATAGCAAAAACTAAGTGCTTACTTTTCATTCCCAAGGACTTTTTGTACCAATGTAGAATATTCTTAATAAAATAATTTCCTGATTTGAAAAAAATAAGTGCTTACTGTAGTTTCAACCTATAGCAGAGGTTAGATTAGGCAACCTAAATAAGGCAAGAACAGAACTCTTAAGCGACCTAGTTAGTTCAACTTCACTTTAGGGACAGGCAGACAATGGACGATTCCTAATAAACATGACAAAACAATCCCAGAGGAAGAGTTCATTAAGTACTTTCTTTTCTGCACTAATAATTGAATGTTCTCTCCCATCATACAAGTAGCTTCTTTCTCTCTGTTTAAGGAAACTGGGTGGCAGGATGGTTAAGGCTTGATACTGCTAACAAAAAATCAGTGATTCAAGCCCATCTGCCCTTCAGTGGGAGGAAAAGCATTAGCACTGCTCCTGTAAAGATTACAGCTTCAGAATCCCTGTGGGGGCAGTTCGACCCGTCCTACAGGTTGCTGCGTCAACTTAGCGCCAGTGGGTTTGGTGTGGTGGGTTTTTCACTTTGTTTTTATTCCTATGTATGCGAGGTGTGTAAACTACAACGTAACAGAGTACACCAGATTTTTTGAAGGAGTCACACTAAATTGTAGCAATTGAAAACAGGACACAAAGGGGTGTGGTAACAAGGATTTCGAGAAATTTTTTTTTTAATTACTTTTCTATGAGAGTATATTGATTATGAAATCCAAGTGTCCCCTCGGTGGCATACATGTTTAAGCGGTCAACTACTAGTTGAAAGGCTGGCACTTTAAAGCTACTCAGAATGCTTCAGAAATCAGGCCCAGTCATCTCTCCAAAAGTCTCAGCTTTGAAAATCCAGCGGAATGCACTTCTGCTCTGCAGCATATGGGGTTGCCTTATGTTGGAATTGACTTAATTACAGAACTTAATTTTTATTGAAATCATTTAATCCTCATAACAATCGTAGGAATTGGTTATTCTTGTTATCCTTGTTTTTCATGTGCACCAAGAGGTTAACTATCCAGGGTTATGTATGTTCCTTGTGGGAGAAATACACAGATAAACATCACATACTGTCACTATCTTTCATACATTCTGTGAAATAGGATGCTATATGATTTGGACATTGTGTGAACACCATATTAAAACTTTACGATGGTATCCCACTTCTGGTTTTTCCTCATCACTGTTGCTGCTGGAGGGCAGAGGACCTGGCAGCAGTGGCATGAGCAGAGTGAGAAGAAGCAGGTGGGGAGGAAGAGGGATGCGCCCTCCCCTTCCTTTGTTCCACCTTGCTCAGCAGCTGGAACAGTCCTGCTCAAAGCTTCACTGTCACGTGCTCCTAAGAAAAGCATGAGTGGGAGCCTCCAGCCTCTGCCTCACCATCTGTATCCCGACAGTGATCCAGTGTTACAGGTGTATGGGTTTGAGGTCTTTAAAGCAATAGGGAAAATAATAAACCAGGAAAATTAGCTTTGTGCTATTGAGTGGGGCTTAGGGAGTAGTGCTGTTGAGGATACTAATTAGAAATATCTAATAATTGCTCTTTTTTTTATAACTTTTTAGATTATAAAGTAAAATACACTGGATCTTAAAATTATGCTGTTTATACAAAAATGATAGGTCATCTTATGGGATAAGCCATTTAAATGCTAAAACTTAATTATTCTCAAAGATAGTATTAGCCTGTAGTAAAATTTCAGATTTTTAAGTAGCTTAATTTCTTCATTAGGTAGTTAGGGAGTAAGAATAAATCACTTATATTTACATGTCACTATCCAATTTTTAAAATTAATCTATTTTAAAAATAATTTTATTGGGGCTTCTTACAATTGTCAATGAAAAAAAGTATTGTATTTTTGCAAAGTTGGTAAGCACAATTTTAAAAATATTAGTCACTTTAGTATTTCAGTTTTACAAATTGACAATTTTTCTTGATTTCTGCCATGATAAAAGTTTTTCATGTGCAAAATTGACTTCTTGGAAGGGTTCTGATGTTTCTTTTTCAGAACATATATTTAGGGTTTGCAGCCTTTCACATTGAGATTGTGCATTGCGATAGTGTGAGAAATACACACAGGAGTGTGATGTCTGTGGACTTAAGAACAATTGTGTGTTGAGAAACTAAAGACAATGTAAATTGAAGTAGAGTAAGAATGAAGTATAAGAAAAGCACAAATTACTGTAGTAATTAGGGCATGAAGACATTTGATGTCATTGGAGGACCAGATAAAACTCTAGAGGAAATGGAGAGAGTGACATGAATAAAGGCATAGAAACCAGAAATTATTCAAGTCTGCTTGAAGAAGAGGTGAGGATTGAATAATTCATTTTTGCCTCGTTTAGAAGGTGCACTCAAGTAGGAGAGTAGTGGTGTGTTAGGCTGTTTTCTAGAGAAAACAATCAGTGGCACTCATTTATGTCCAAGGGAACAAACAGCCTAGCCCAGTCCAAGTCAGTACCTTGGGTCAGATGCTAGGTAGAAGTCCTCCAGACTCACTCAGCTGCCAGCAGATAAAGCAGGCAGGTGAAGCGGGAAACGGGGGCATCACAGACCATTGAGTATAGAGTTGCATGGATCCAAGGTCTGTGGGGTCCATGGCAGGGTGCCAACAGCTCTTAGGGCTAGTAGGCCCCAGGTGTGAGACAGGGGACCTAGCCACACAGGAAAGGAGAGGGCTAAGAGAGTGAGAAGTTCTCCACAGTATCTCTAATAAAAAGGTGACAGCCCCAAAGAGGTGTCATCTGGCTGTGACTTCATAGCTAGGTTGGGCGTCAACACTGTCTTCACCCAGGTACATTAAGCTGACATAAAATCTAACTATCCCAAGTGGGAAATTGAGTTGGACTATCTTGTTAAAGAGTCTTTGGATATAAATTAATTGATGTTTCTATGTCAGGATAGTCCATAAGCAGCTTTTTACTTTACAAAGGTTCTTTTGTCACTGATAAGATGAATTTGAGTTGAAGTATGAACTAGTTAATAAGTGATGCAAGCTATGATAATTGTAATAATAATGAAAGAAAGGAATACAGATAATAAGTGTAGCCGAGAATGAACGCATAGGATTTGGTAAATAATTAAAACAGTAAAACTGCCCTTTTAGTTTGTAGAAAGAAGTGCTTTGTGGATAAAACATTGCAAAATGGTTTCTCCAAGTTACTGATTTACTCCTTAGGCACCTCTGTTTCACCTTTTATTCTTGGTGGCATTATATTTTTTCAGAACTGCACCACCTCTGATATCACTAAATTAAATACTTCTGTATGTCCTTCTC